TCTACGTCCACGGAGTTGCAGCAGAGGATTTTACTACTTGAGAAATTTACACCAGTCAATCAACTTGACTTACAAGAGGAATCTCTCACTCTCTCTTCTTCTGTCTCTGTTCTTTTCTCTCTACACCTAGATACACCGAAGAAACTCTACACCAAAATACACCAAAATACACCGAAGAAGACAAACCTTACAAGAGAAATAAACTCAATTTCTCTTCTGCCACAAGCCACCAAGAAGAAGCATAGGGAGAACAATCTTCTTCTTCTTTATTCTTTCCTTATGCCGCAATGAACTACCGCTTGCGCTTCTCTTCCTCTGCCTCGAGGAAATCTTTCTCTATCCCGAGGAAACCGAAAAACTCAAACTATAACTGCTAAACCCAAGGACAGTCATCCGAAACTTTTATCACAAACAAGAGGGAGCGAAGAGATACTTCGCTTCACAAAAGAGGAAGGCGGGAGTTGTTATTTGTGAAGAGGCGTGACTCTCCAAAGCAAAGTAACCGCCCAAGCATATTGGACCGAGCTCCACCATTTCTAACAGATGGATCTTTAGTGTCTCAAGTAACTTTACCCGTGATTTACTGATTGATATCATTAAAAACCCTCTCTCAAGGTCTTTGTTCCACGTACTTTAGCCTAGGATTGTTGTCTACAATATTACTCACATATTACGAGGGTATATCAAGGAAATATATTCTCTATAAGTGGAAATAATTCTTGATAAGAAAATTATCACAATAAATACTATCTTATAATTACTCCCGTGGATCTCTTTTAATGTTATTTAAATCATTTTTATCTATGTTACTTGTAGCTCATGGGTTTTAATTTTAACCGTTAACATTATAACAAATCTATTTAACTTCACATAAAACCATTTTTGTTGTTCTTAATATAATTAATAATAAGTAGTATTAGAGCTAATTATGTTCAAGTGATTCATCTGGTTTGTGTTTCTTATGTGTGTTAATCCTTTCATTATGATTGAACAAATTTCAAAAGGGGGTAACTCTCATCACATACTCATATAGTTGAAGGTGCCTTTGACGCTTGATGCTCCATGTTAATACCTCGCACCCCAAAAAAATAAAATAGAATGCTAAATTTTCATCGTTTTAAGGAAAATAAAAATATTTATATATTAAAGATTTGTTTAAATAAATGAGATAAAATAAGTTTAAACTAATTTCCTTTTTACAATTTCATTTTTTTCAATTTTATTTCTCCAAATTCCCTCAAATCAAACAAAGCCCATCAGACCAAGAACGGTAATATTTTAATTTTTCTCAGAGAAGTCCAAATAGTGGATGCAGGGCACATCAAACAAAGCCGAATTATTAATTGAAAATGTGTTCATGAATGCTAACCATCTTGCTGTGCCATTTCACATCAAGAACTGACAGTCTAAAGGATTTCTATTCAAAATCTCAATCTATTCACACACACACACACACACACACACACACACACACACACACACACACACACACACACACACACACACACACACACACACACACACACACACACACACACACACACACACACACACACACACACACACACACACACACACACACAAATCTGTGTGTGTGAAACCAAAGTCATTATGAAAAATTGCTTTCCCATTCTTTCCCATACTGTGATATATTATTCATCCCAGACAAAACAGGCTTTAATCCATGGATTTATTGATGTTTCCATCCCTATTTATGATGTGAGCAATTTAAAAAATATCAGAAAATTGAAATTAAAAAAATATATTCCTTTCAGCATTTGAACTATATCAATTTGCACACAAACAGTGAAAAATAATATTTTCATTCCAAAACATGGGAAAGCAAAAATTTGAAAATTCGGCCAATCTGTGTTGGCTTATACTAAATCTGATAGAAAAATGGGAAAAAAAAAATCATTGTCAATTGCTGCCATTCTGAAGGTTATCAGGTGGCAGTCCATCAGTCGGCATGTTACTGCTTCTATTTGCTGCAGCCATCTGATTCTGCTGCGCTGACTGAGATCCATAACCATATAAATTCATTGCCTGCAAGCAAATCAAATCAGCAATGCTATTACTCTTCACCACACAAAAATAAAAATAAAAATAAACCAATGATAAAAGCTAGAAACCTGTGGAGATGGCTGCATATGATGAAATCCAAAGTGTGGAGGAAATGATTCAGGAATCTGAGGATTGTGGATTTGATTTGGAAATCTCAAATGGCTGATAGATTGTGGGCACATTGGTATTTGATTTGCCGGTAGAACTGAGGGCATAGGTTGATGATTCAATACTGGAACTCTCGGTAATTGAAGCAAGTTATTTAATGTAGGCACAGCTCCTCTACCAATGCCCATACTCATTTGTGCCATAAAATTCTGGATGCTGGGAAACATCATTGTTGCCATGCCGCTTCCCATCCACAAGAACTGAGGAAAAAAAAAAGAAATTTTTTTATGAAATTTGATCACTATAACATGAATAAAATACTGATATTTCAATACCTGAACTTGCTGTTGAAGTGATTTCAAGTATTCGATTGCTTCATCTAACATTGATGCTTTATCTGTCTGAACATTGCAAAATACACAATGCTCAATTTTGGTTTCAAAGAAGAAAAAAAAATTTTTTTTTTTCTGGAAGATATAAAAGAAGCAATTTTTACCTTGGTACAATGCGGTATGAGTTCCTGTAATGCTTTCATCTTCTCATTTATTCTGTCTCTTCTTTTCTACAAGTTTTTCAATAGGTGAAAGCAGGTCTAGATTGTAATTTTACATTTCAAAACTCAATTTTTCTTACCCTTTCTGAAAGATTATGAACCTCTGCAGCTCGGGTTCTACGTGATCTTTGAGCTGGCTTCTTTCCATCAGCAGATTCATAGTCTCCCTCCTGTAACTCTTAATCAGTATCAGAATTCCATTTTTGTTAGAAAAAGAAAAAAAAAAGATGAGGAGGCAAAAGCTCTGTCGACACCTCACTCAAGCTGCATGATTCCTCCACTTCTATTCCTTTTCTTTTGTAGTTTTGGTTGTTCACCTCCTGTGGCGTCGGTCTGGTGCTAACTCCAGACCCACCTGATGATGAAGTACCAGTTATTTCAAACGTATCAGTCTTCATCCTCTCTGATAGAAAGCTATTCTCCATGTCTTTTTTGAACTTTCTCGGAGGCAAACCAGTTTTTATTGCGCTGTTGCTCAGGCTATTTGTTAGGCTGACACGATTCTGAACTCGGTTGCTCCCACAAATGCTTGATTCTGTTGTCATCATTGAAGAAGATTCTCCTCCTCCTGAATGGATTTTTTTCTGCAGTCTATTTGCCAGCCCAAACTTTTCTGTTTTAGAGAAGTGCGGGAAATCAACAGTGCCGCTGCTGCTCTCAGGGCAAACATACTGATGCACGGAATCATAAGGATGCGATTTTGGAGGAGAGAATCTGTTCTGATTGTGATAAAGATTGAAACGTGGAACGGTATTGCCTTCATTGTTGATGCTTTTGTTTAATTTGTCAGCGGAAATAGTCTGTGGATTCGGAAATTCACACAAGAAATCGCAACCGAACTCTTTCTCCAAGTATTCGTAAGGGTGGTATTGGAACAGTGAGGCTATCTCATCTTCCATGGCTGAGGGATGGGGGTTCGAACCCCCAACCGGTTTTGGATCTTCTTTAACTTCATTGATGCCGGTTGGGAATTTTCTGGGAGCTGTGCTATGATGCGTCTGTACATTTTCGTTCTTCCATTGGAGTTCTGTGAATTCTTGGTTGGGCCTGTGAGTTTTGAAAGATTGAATCTTGGTAGTAGGATTAGATAAAAATTTATCAATTGCAGATTACTGCTAAAGAAGAAAAATATATATATAGAAACTAACACTGTTGATCTTTTCTGATTTGTAGCAGCAAGGTAATTCTGATATGATCTTGAATGCTCGTCCATGTTCTGATCAGGAATAATGTGATTCTTGGTTCAGTAGCTAGTTGATTTTAACTAAAAAAAGAAAGAATCACAGGTCAAAACGATTAGCCATGAAAATTTTTCATATTTTCTCCAATAAATTCTTAAATTTTTTATTGTAAGCACAGGATATGCTGAAAAGGAAAAAAAAAAAGTAATTTCTCAGCTAAATAAGTTTATGAAAGAAAAGCATTCTTAAAAAACTTTTGCTGAAGCTAATTACAACAAAGAAACTGATAAAAAAGAAACAAAAGCACGAAAACGGCAAATCATAGCATGACAATTCCTTGAAAATATTAAAAATTGACATTACATTGAAAAGAACTTTTAAAATTTCAGCTAATTTCAGCTAAAGCACTAAACTTGCAACAAAGCTCTGTATGAGAACCAAAAGCGCAAAAACCAGATTAAGTTCTTCCTACCAAATTGCATTTTGAAACAAACCTTCTATGAGTGATATCTGAAACTCACCAACAGTGGAATGAATATAACAAACGCAACAATTAAAGAGAACATAGGAACCCAAACATGAAATCTCCTTATAAAATGCAAAAAAGCAGAGAAAGCAGCGACCTTGAAACACAGATATAGAAGCTTGCCGAAATAAGGACCAAATCAGTGAAACGAAAGCAAGGAATAGAAGAAGCTGCACCTTCTCCATTGCTTATCTTGCTCTCTCTGGCCTCCTCTTCAGCCTACAGCGGGGATGCCGCCACGCAAAAATTAATAACTTTTTAGTTCTTCGTGAAGCTTCCATGGACACTAATTGAGGTAGCTGAGCATCTTTACTGCTAAATCATGAAACTGTTAGTGCAAATTATTTCTCTCTCATTAAAGTAAAATGCCAAGAAGTATTACTTATTCTGTTCTTCTTAGTTTAGAGACTAATCAAACATTAGGAACTGAGTTTTCTTCTTAATGATTCCAAAAAACAAAAAAAAACTACAGATTTGTTCTGTTGAGTGACTTGAGAAACTTTTCAGATGTATATATAGGCTGACTGTAAGAGATTGTAAGTTACTCGGAGAATCCTTGAGTTTTTATTGGACATAATGATGGCATATTTATCCATCTTAACTCGTAAGTTTCCTGCAGCAAGCTTATGTCTCGGAGCTAATTATACTTTCGGATAATTACATACAGATCATCCTTAACATTGATATTTACAAACTAATCCCATGTATTTTCACAATTCTCATGTATTCATATAACTAACACCTAAAGTTTGATATTTGTATTTTATTTTTAAAATATTAAAAAATGATGTTATCTTTTATGTAGTGTTAAAATTTTGAGTGTCAAAAATATAAATATAAAAGTTTTGTTTTTTAGATATGTAAATGGCCCCAACTTGTTTGATAACTAATGATTTTTTATATTATTTATAATATTTTATAAATAATAAAGTAAGATTTTCTTAAATTTATATATTAACCATTTACTTAATTTATTTTTCAAAATTATACCTTTATGATATAAACAACTTCCAAAAAAACATTTGATATAAAAGCATAAATAAATAAATAATTAAGCAATCAAATCATCATTAAAGTAACGATCTACCTCTTAACAAACTAGTAATTAGACAATAATTTGGTATATATATTTATGAATAATATTTATAATTTCCATGAAAATTTACATAATACCACACAATTCTTACGCATTTATACATCTGACACCTAAAGTTTGACATTTACATTTAACGATAGCTTTAACGTGCTGTTCACAATTTCAGTGTTACGTTTGTAAATATGAAAGTTCAGGTAATAAAAATGTAAATACGAAAGAATAGACTGGTATGTATGTAAATGCCCCACGGGGTCTTGAGGAATTGGACAAGTGGCAAGGAATTATAATGTAAATATGGAAGAATTGCAAGTGGGCTTGTGGATAAGGAAATAGATTATTTTAAATTATTTTTAGCCATTAGAAAGATACTCTCCCGATCTCCTTGTTTTACTAGTGGCACAGAAGCCAGCAGCTCACATGTGGCTGCCAGTGTCTTCACAACAGGGGCAATCCTGTAATATAAAACTGTATTTCATTTATTTTTTTGTTTTTAGTGTTTTTTTTCTAAGTTATTTTATATATATATATTTCTAACTCACAAAAAAAGAGCATTGCGGTGACGTGCCATCTTTTCAACGAATTTGAGCTGTACCTCAGAATTATAGATAATTTGACATGTGGGGCAAAATATTAATATATAGTTACTAAAGTTTAGAATTAGAAACATATATGTGACGAAATTATTAGGTATTTATGGACAATGGTGGATGAGAAGGTCGCATCACATACACGTGAATTTGTGGAGATGTGGCATTCCCGTCCACCGTTGTTTGTACATTTGGATATGAGCACATAATAATTTTATAGTTTATGTGAGTTTTTAATAAAAATTATGTTGAAACTTTTTATAGATTAATAATCAGTTTGAGACAAATTTTATTTTTAATTAGAAGCAGATTAAGTGGGTTACAGTATTTTAAAATTGATTAAGGGTCTGTTTGGGACAGCTTGTGCTTTTTAGTATAAGCAGCTTATTCTGAAACGAGGCCCGCGGGTCGACTGCGGTGGTCGACCCGCAGCTTACGTTTAGTGTAAAAAACCAAAACTTTGTAGACAGCGTTTTCAAAAACGCGCAAATCAAACAGTATGCGGTGTTTTCAAAAACACCGTCGTACTTATAAAGCTCAAAATCATAATTAAATGTTTATTTTTCAAGTTGGTAACAAATTATTTATCAAATAATAAACAAAAATGTTCATAAATTAAATAAATAAGCAAGTCAGTGCATTAATTTACCTTGAATAAAATTTTCTATTTCCCACGTAACATTGAACTTCTTCTATTTTTTCGAAAATTGACATGATTTTGGTGTTTTTTTTTTTTGTGTGTGCTCTTTATTTATATATTTTCCTTGTGTTTTTGTCTATATTCTCCATTGAATCAGTCTATTTCGTTTAGATGTGGTAGAAAGCTTTTAAGCAGCTAACATATTTTTAGTTAGTTGAAGACTGAGGGTTTATTTATGGTGGCTGTAATTAGGGCTGTGAATTTAGTTTGAAGTGGTCGTTCACTCGAAAATTAATTCAAATTTTAATTCGGATCAAGATCATGTTGTGGTATATTGAAAATTTAAAACGATCGACGATGAAGTGAAAAATGAAACGAGAAAAGCTTCACACCAAAAGAACATACAAATTTACATGGTTCGACAAATTGCCTATATCCATGGAGTTGCAGAGGATTTTACTAATTAAAGAATTTATACTAGTGGATCGTCTCCAATTACAAGAGTGAACTTTTTCTCTCACTTCTTCACTCTTCTCTCTCTATACCGAGATACACCGAAGATGAAAAAAAATGTATAAGAGAGAAATCTATTTCTCTTCTGCCACAAGCCAACAAGAAGAAATCAAGAAGAGCACCTTCTTCTTCCGCTATCTTCTTCTTTCTTCTGCTAAGCACGAGAAGAATCATTTCAAAAACTGAAGAATGCTTGGGCGAAGACGGGAGAGGAGTTTCTATTTCGTGAGAGACAGATCGTCGGGAGGAAGCCTTCTGATTTCGCGAGGGAGACGGGGCTTGCAAACGAGGGAGGCGATCACGAGAGACAGGGAGACGGGGAGTTTGCGAAAAATGGGAGCAAAGGGTCAGGAGCAGTTACAATAATATTTATTATTATTATTTTTTTTTCTCTACCAGGCTCCACACTCAACAAATCTCTCACTTGGAGGCCGGTACACAAACTCCAACTTCTTCTTCCTCAGACTAATATCCTCCACTGGTGGCGTAGCCCTTTTCTTCAAACGTGTTATCCTCCACCTCTGCAACTTAAGACCCCTGTCTTCACACCAAAAGACCAACGAAAGCTGCGCACAACTTCAGTTTCTCCTGAGTAACACTTTTTGTCAACATATCAGCAAGGTTCTAGCTTCCACAAATTTTCTCAAGCAACAACTATCCGTCATCCAACAATGATCGTATGAAGTAATACCTGATTTGAATGTGCTTAGTCTTAGACTAAAATGCTAGATTCCTAGCAAGGAATATGACGCTCTGACTATCACTGTAGAGAATGCCCTTCTGATCATTCTTACCCGATTCTTTCAAGAGCCCTGTAGCCATATCAGCTCTTTTGCAGCCTCTGACACTACTATTTACTCAGCTTCTGTAGTAGACCACAAAACTGTCTTCTGCAGATTAGATGATACTGCAGTGTCACCAATAGTATAAATATAGCCTGCAGTACTTCTTCTGGTATCAATGTTTTTAGCTAGATCAGCATCAACATAACCACGTCCCTTTGAAATCTTTCCTGAGAAACACAAGCAAGTTTCTGTAGAGCCTCTTAGGTACCTCAAGATCCACTTCATTGCTTCCCATTGTTTCTTTACAGGATTTCTCATGTATCTGCTAACAACTCCCACTGCATGGGCAATATCCGGTCTGGTGCAAACCATAACATACATAAGTGAACTAATAGCTAAAGCATAAGGAACCTTACTCATGTGATCCCGTTCATCCTCTGACTTGGATGACTGATTCTTGCTGAGTCTGTAGTGACTTCCCAAGGGTGTGCCAAATGGTTTGGCCTTATCCATATTGAACCTGCTAAGTACCTTTTTCACATACTCAGCCTAAGAGAGTCTCAACATGCCTCTAACTCTATCTCTGACAATTCTCATACCAAGGATTTGCTTTGCTGCTCCTAAATCCTTCATTGCAAAGTGCTCTGACATCTGCTCCTTCAGATTATTGATATCCTCAATACAAGCACCTGAAATAAGCATATCAACCATATACAGGTGTAGGATGATATAGGAATTATCAAAATACCTGACATAACAACAGTGATCTGTCTGACATTTGCTGTACCCTGCACTGTGCATAAAATTATCAAATTTCTTGTACCACTGTCTAGGAGCTTGCTTCAGGCCATACAAACTCTTCTTTAATCTGCAAACTGACTCTTCCTTTCCCTGTACCACAAACCCTTCAGGTTGGTGCGTGTAGATGTCTTCTTCAAGATCCCCATGAAGAAAGATTGTCTTCACATCTAACTGCTCAAGGAAGAGATCTTTAGTAGCCACCATAGACAATATCATTCTGATGGTTGTAAGCTTCATCACAGGAGAGAAAATCTCGGAATAATCAATATCATGCTTCTGTTGAAAACCATTTACAACAAGTCTAGCCTTGTACCTCTTACTGTCATTATGTTCAGTCTTCACCTAGTACACCCACTTGTTGTGTAATGTCTTCTTTCCAGATGGAAGTTCTGCCAACTCTCACATCTGATTTTCTAACAGAGAATCAATCTCCTCCTTCATGGCAGCTCCCACTTGCTCAAATTTTTATCTTGCAAGGTTTCTTCATAACTGAGGTTCTCCATCATTTGTCAGCAGAATGTAGTTCAAAGTTGGAGAATAACACTGTGGAGAACGTCTAGCCTTTTCTGATCTGCGAACTGCAACTATAGGGGTAGACTGCTCTGAAACTGACTGTGGAACAATAGGAGTGGATGCCCCGGATCCACTCTCCTTATCACCTGCATCTCTGCCCTGCACTGTGACCTCTGGTAAATCATCAAATCTTATCAACTCAGATTCCTTCAGTGTAGTTTCAGAAATTGTACTGGACTTGTCATTGTACATAAAATTCTCATTGAAAATCACGTTCCTGCTCTTAATGATCTTTTGATCCTGATCATCCCAAAAATGATATCCAAATGCTGCATCTCCATAACCAATGAAATAACACTTCATTAACTTAGCCTTAA